CAGGAAGATTTTTGGACAAGATTTGTAAGTATTGATAACAAATTCAAAAAAAGACAAAATTGTTCAGGCTCCCAGAAAAGAATAACAGAGACAGACTGAAGATCTTATCAATAAATATCAATGGAATGAACTCCCCCTCCAAGTGAACTAAAGTTTTCCATTTAAAAAAATGAATCTCCATTTATATCAATAATCAAGGCTTAAAAGTTGTAGAAGAATTAAAAGATATAGATATTTATTATCATTTATGTATTATCTTGAAGATAAGACTCCTGAATGGGGAGATTAATACATTAGCAACAATATATGTTCTAAATGATGCAAAAGGAAGGTTTTATTAAAATAAAATTCAATTGATATTGGATTTTCAAGGAGAAATTTTGGTTATTGGTGAAATGAACGGAGTTATAGACTCAATAAGGACAAGTCTAACAAAAGAAAAAGCGAGTAAATTCCCTAAAAAAGTTTTTAACTATATGGAAATGTTATACCTGAAAGATGCATGGAGATTAAAAAACCCTAGAGTCAGAGACTGTATTTTTTTCTCGGATAGACATCAGACATACTCATGAATTGATATGTGCTGGATATCCAAAGACTTTATTATGAACTTAGAGGCTGTAAAGATCCAGCCCAAGATACTTTCTGATCATAATCCACTAGAAATAATTTGGTGAGAAGAACAAATTGGAGGAAGGAGATGGAGACTGAATTTTAATCTTTTACTACAAGAAGATAGTTTTAACAAGACAGGAAAAGAATTGGAAAACATTTTTAGACTAAATAATACAAGTGATATCTCTATAGCAACAATATGAGAAGCCAGTAAAGCATATATGAGAGGAAATTTTTTAGCAACAGTGTCTAAGGAAAAAAAAATTAAAATAAATTTAAAAAAACCTCCTGCAATGAATTCGAATATTAGAAGATCACCATAAAAAGTATAAGACAAATCAACCTTAACTGAACTTAGACAATTAAGAAATCATCTAGACATGAAAAGAGACAGAAAAGACACAAAAAAAGTTGAGATTTTAAAAACAATAACATTTTGAACATGCTTACCTGGAGGATACTTAGCTTATTGTCTTAAGAGATAAATGGAAAGATCTATTCACCCTATTAATGGGGTGAAAAAAGATAATGTAATTGCATATGTTAAAAAAAGAAATTCATGATCAACTCACCAGTTTTTTTCCAAATTTATAAAAAAATACTTCAGAAGATGGAATGGAGCAGTATATAGAAGAAACATGTGTTGAAAAATTTACCTCTGAGCAGAGGAAAATACTGAATGATATGATTACTATTCACTAATTATAACAAGCTATTAGAAGATTAAAAAAAGATAAAGCCCTGGTCTAGATGGATTCACTGCTATGTACTACAAATGTCTAGAGGAAAAATTAATATAACCACTCCAACAAGTAATGAAAACTATTACCACCAACATAGCAGAAAGCCCATATAACACTGATATATAAAGAAGGCAATGATCCTGCTTTGCCACATTCTTAACAACCTATTTCATTATTAAATGTGGATTACAAATTTTTAACTTCAATGATACCAGAGAAATTAAGAAAATGAATGGAAAGGCAGATTCTCATAGATCAGACGGAATTGTTCCAAGATTTATGAAAGATACTGTTAATTTTGTGATTGACACAATTGAATTGGTCAAGAAGAAGAATGAAAAAACAGTATTTATTTTTCTAGATGTGAAAAAGGCTTTTGATAATGTGATAATGTGTCTTGGCACTTCTTACTGAAAACTCAATACTTAGACTGTGGTTCAAGCTTTATGAATTGGATTCAAGCAGTTTACACTAAACCACATTCCAAGATTTTCATTAATGGACTACTAACTGATAGCTTTCAAATGGAGAAGGGAACATTCCAAGGATGCGCTTTATCACCTCTTTTATTTATTCTTGTACTGGAAATTTTAGTAATAAAGACAAGATTTACTTTCTACTCCTCAGTTCACAATACTGATTCCAGAAGACAGATTACATATTTGTGTCTAAAAATTTGTTTAGTAGAAAATCCTTTCCTTAAGAATACATTAAAAATTTGGAATAAGCAAAAGGGGGAACTTATGCCATTAATCTCACCATTATGTCCAATAATTGAATTAGAAGGATTTCCATTAAACTTAAGGTAGAAAATGGGGAATATATTAAGCAATTAAAAATAGATTAAAAGATTGGTTAGAAAAAATGAATAAAAATGGGGAGATAAAAGCAGGATGGGGAAAGGAGAAAATAACTTGGTATAATGTAATTCAATTGGAATTCTGGACTAAAGAATGGATATGGAAAAAAGGTAAATGCAGGAATTATAGAAAATTTGAAGATATGATTATAGAAAAGGAAAAACAAGAGAATATGCAGATGAAATAAATAGTAAGTAAAATTTATAAGATATTATTAGATCAGGATCAATATGTTTCACTTAAAGCAACATGAGAAATGGGTTTGAGGAAAATATTAATAAGAAAGATATGGAAAATATTTGGATGAAGAGGATACTAAAATATATGTGTGTGAGATTAAAGGATTTTTTCTAGAATTGTATGGAAGTGGTACATGATTCCAGTGAAGATGAATTGTATAGATAACAAATATAGACGACGAATACTCCAGTTTACGTGAGAGATGTGGTAGTGAAGTCGGTATATATTTCATGAAATGTGAATTTGCATATATAATGAAATTTTGGAAAGAGGTTTCAAAAGAGAGCAGTAAAAATTTAAGTCTACATATAGACCTATGCCCTAAGATTACACTACTTTCAATATTTAATAAAAAAATGGAGTTGGAATAACAAAGAATTAATAACAAACTGTAAGAGACCTGACAAATTTTAAAAAGCCGATTACACAATAAAATGATAATCTATTACAAAGACTTTATTAGCAGTTACTTCAACACAACACTGAAACTCAGCAAGATAAGAATGTATGACAATTTGCATGCAGAACTTAAGAGAAGAAATATCACCCCGTCAATGGGAAGCTTTATGGAAGAAAGACATTAAATTCACGGCTAGTCAAGCACTAAGAGAACACTGGTATAAGATTTATTTTTGTGGTGTATTACCCTGAAAGATATAGAAAAAGTAGGTAAGCACTACAATGGAAAATGCTGGAAGTGTAATAAAGTAGATGGAACTTTCTACCATATGTGGTAGACTTGTGAAATAATTGAAAGATTTTGGAAGTTGATACATGATTCAACTCTAAAAGAGAGACTGCTAATGAACAAATGAAAGTTGTGGAGTATATATGCCTTTGGATTGTTGTAAACTGCGCAGAGAGCTTTGGCTATAGAAACAGTATAGAAGTATAGAAACAACAACAGCAACATGTGGAAATACAAAAATCCTTTAAAACTAAGCTTCCTAGATATCCTAAAAATATGTTACACAACATATTGTCGGAGAGTTTTTCAAAGAATATGTCAGTTATTCAAATATATGACAACTGCAGCAAGAATTACAGTTGCTTCTAAATGGAAAACACCAGAATGCCCAACAATTGAAGACTAGAAAAATAAGTTAGCGGAGTATGCAGTGGTGGCAAAATTAACTAAAGATGTAAACGAAAGACTCACTGAAGAATGTAATGATAAATTGAATTATTCTCTGATTTTCATTAATAAGATTTAAAAGAAGACTCTGTTAAGTTGTTGTTGTTGATTTATAATTGATTTGATGTGACTGGGAAAAAATTTGTATAGAGAACTGTAGTCATTCTTTTTTCAAGCTTCAACTGAGTATTAATTGACAGGAAGGTAGAAATTTTTGGTCTCTCTGGAAATTTGCAGGTTATGAATATGTTGGTTATGTTTGTTTAAAATCCCTTGGCAAATTTATTTCTTTTTTTCCTTATACCATTCTTTTTTCTGTTTGTTTTCTATTTTAAGAAAACAATAAAAATATTTTTCAAAAATTTGTTTTGTTGACATAGACTGATCCTGCTACCTACTGGAAAAGGTAATTCTAGAATATATCTTTAAAGAACCACAAGGTGGGAGAAGTCTGAAGACCTGTGTGGTCTTTATGTTGAGCAGAAATGTGTGTTCTTCCTCAGTGAGGAAGGCACTGATTTTGTGCACCCGATGCACATAGGCCTGAGCGTGGGGTCTTACCTGCATCCAATGAAGGGCGCATGGCACAGCAGTGGTGATTTCTACCAACCAACACCTCAAGTCCTCTATTGCATCTAGACAGCTGTTTCTGACTACTTAGATTAAGTGTTGCAGAGGGGGAGTGAAGGAGGCTGGGACACTGTTTGGATATAACATAAGTGGTAGCCAAGTCTCCTCCCTTCCATGCCCATCTCCATCAAGCACTTCCATGTCCATCTCCATCAAGCACATTCTCTTCTCTGAGGGTGGAGAAGACCCAGGCACTTGGACAGGCAGTTGGCATGGTTCTTTCTGTGCTGGCTGCGAGGGGGCAGGGTGGGGGCTCAGTATTAGAGTCCCAGAAGAATTTAATGATAAATGGAAATTCTATATAATAAATATGATGTAAAAGAACGTTGTTAAAATACTGTTAATGATTTATAATTGATTTGAAGTGACTGGAAAATCTGTCCATATAGAGAACTAGTCATTCTTTTTTTGAGCTTCAACAGAGTATTAACTGACAGAATGATAGAATTTTCTGGTCTCTTTGGAAATTTGCAGGTTATGAATATGTTGGTCATGCTTGTTTAAAATCCCTTAGCAATTCTATTTCACTTTTTTTCTTACACCCTTCTTCTTTCTGTATCTTATATATTTTAAGAAAACTTTTAAAAAAAGAATTGAGAGAGAGAGAGAGGGAGCAAGAGCAAAGCCTAACCCAAAACTGTGCATGGCGGGGGCGGGGGAACTGTCAAACAAGCCACAAACTCAGCTCAAAACTATGAATGCCCATCTTCTTTGTCTCATAGAGAAGATTATCTTCAATTCTGAATTGCATACACACACCTTTATCAAAGGACTTACCTGAAGCTTTTTCACTAGTCCCTTCTTTTTCTGTTTACAATCACTGAAATTCTCTGGGAGAATCTGAGAGGCAAAACAGAAACAAAAACAAAACTGATGCTGTCTAGTTCTGAAAGCTGCATTTAATGTCATATGCAGAAATATAATTTTCACAGTAGGTAGCTAAGTAGTTGTATTGTGCATATACCCAGTTAGGATAGTAATCCAAACAGAACTGTTTGGCTGTATAATTTTAATTCCTTAGATAATCAGTCCAACAACACTACCAATATACAGTGGTACCTTGGCTCACGAACTTAACCCGTTCCAGGACTCTGGTTGTGACCCAAATTGGTTGTAAGCCAAGTTAAATGTCCCCATAAGGTTCAATGTAAATAAGGTTAATCTGTTCTGTAACCACTTTTTAAATTGGACAAATGTGAAGCAAAGTGACCACTACGAAGATCGCAGCCATCTCCCCCGCCCCACTCCAAACACAAGCGCAGTCATCTCCCCGCCCCCTCCAGCACGACTGAGATTGCGCCTGTCATCCCTGCATGCGCCTGTCATCCCTGCAGGCACCTGTCACCCCAACACAGTGAGGGGTGCGGGGGGAGAGACGGACGTGATTGCGGGTGCACTGGGGGAGGAAGAGATGGGCGCAAATGGTGCGCTGGGGGTGGGGATCACGATCCCCTCTGATCATGAACAGAACTGAAATTGCTGCCATCTCCCCACCCCCCCCCCGAGTGGGGAGATGGCCACGATCCAGTTGCTTTCATGCAGAGAAGGCATGCATGATCAGAGGCGCACTGCCTGAAATTTTTCAGAAATTTTTGTTCATGAACCAATTTGTTTGTGAACAGAGGCGTTCATGAGCTGAGGTACCACTGTATTACACTACATGCTTTGCATTCTCTCTACAGTGCTTAAGAATAGTTAGCTACAGTGCAACGCTCCCTCTCACGAGTCCCGTGCAATCCCAGGCTGACTGAATTGTTACCTCATCTTGCAGACCATTAGTACCACAGACTTACCAGAGTAAAGGGCTCTGTTACAACTGATGATAAAGCTGTCAAGATGTGTACCATGAGCTGTTGCCGCTTAGTGTTCCACAAAAAAAGAATGGAATGGCAAGGTCTTTTTCATACACTTTTTAATGGATTGTTTCCACAATATGCCCACAAACTGCTGCAGAAGTGGGACTCAGGAGTAAGACTCTTGTTTAGGCCATGAAAGAGAGTGCCTTCTCAGGCAGTTATTCTGCAAATGTTCAAGAAAGATACCCAAACTATATATACATCCTGGTTCATTATTCTTCTTGTGATTATCTGTATCAAATGCAGAAGTTCTCCTAGTTGCTATTTGTACATTATTTGTTTCAGTCACATCGCAATACACTGACTTTATCCTCCCTGATTATCTAACTGAATGCAGGGTTCACGTGAGTGTATTTGTCATTAGCGTGGTCTTCATTTTGCTTAATCTTTATTTAAAGAACCACAAAAAAGGCAGTTGTATAAGTTGGTATACATACCACCATGGTTTCCATGGAGAATTTCTTTTAAAGGGCAGATTCTATCTAATTTCTGCTGCTTATCAAAGGCTTCTAACAGTGAAATGCGCAAGGTCATGATTTTCAGCAATTTCCTCTCACCCAATCTTCTTCCTTGCCCCAGTCTGCTCTAGAGTGTCCCCTTAACACAGGGAATGCATTATCTGTCCTAAATAACAATCTCATTCCTTGATATTCAAGCACCTGACTTCTCAAAATGCCCCAGTATAGAATACTCTTTTACATGTGTTCAACATATTACTCAGCTGCACCTGAATGCATGGGCATGGAATTGTCTATTGAATTGGATGATGGGCATGGAATTCATATTCCAGGATTCCCAATGGTCATTTTCCCCCTTAACATTCCTAGCTCTATGATTGTGAAGGTGAGCTTGAATGCATATAGGCTCTGCCTGACTGTATCTCTAAAGTCAGAGGATGCGCTGGGAAGGATTGTTAGAATCTGGGGCAGGGCTTCATGGGCATGCTGTTTCTTCCACATGACTGGCAGGATTAGGCAAAATAAAGAAGGCATGAAAAACTACTTGTAAGTGGGTCCCAGAATTCAGCACTTATTGCTACATAACACTGAGGTTTGTAGGTATAGCATATATACTTCACAAAATGCCTTAGAAGATGCCATGACAAGCAAGATACATTAAATTATTAATTCAGACAGAGAGTGATGCATTATCCTATGGGAATAAAAGATGGGATCTAAAATGGTTCAGAGGATACTTTACTCTAGTACAGGGGTCTCAAACTCAACTTACCTGGGGGCAGTCTGGGTGAGGCTAGGCTGCATCAAGTATTCCAGCACTGCAGTGATGGTGGGCCGCTCATCCCACGTCACTCCCAGAGGCCGGCCCGGGCACCGCCAGCGCTTTGAAGGCCACAGGGCCCCTCCCCCGTGCCCCGCCAGTCCCGGCAATTGGCCTGCGGGCTGCGAGTTTGAGACCCCTGCTCTAGTAGATTTGTACGGTAAACAATCAAATGAAAAAAGTCTTCTTGAGACACAATGACAACATAACAATGATGCTCTTAATTTGTGGTGTTTGTGTTTGTATAGAACACCTGTCAAAGGGTGGGGTATAAGTCCCTTAAATAAAGCATACACAAAAATTTCAAGGACTCATTAATCCTTACAGCATCCCTTCAGATCAGTATTATCTCCACATAGCAGATGGAGGCTAGGACTGATATTGTTTTGCCCAAATCCACTTAGTGATTTTCTGACTGAGATGACACTTGAACTAGGGATTTCCAAGTTCACTTGCAGCCATAAAATTATACCAGTTCTGAATCTACTTACAGCAAACTTCATACCCCCTTATTCTATGCTGACAACAGCATTGAACCTTACCCGCTGTGGAGAGATCCTAAAACAGTTTTTGACTTGTCTGGACATCCTAGGTATCACCCACAGTAGGTTGGTTGCTTCTGCAAAGAACTCACAGGGAGTATGACAAGTGATCAGGCTCACCCTGGATACTTCGATTCTCAGGAGACACCACAAGGAGGCATGCATCTCTTCTTAGTGACAGCTACAACTACAAGCTCATATCACCTTGCCACAGCTGCCCCTTTAAATTTCAATTCAACTCTGTTTCCCTTTAAAAAGGTTGATGGAGTGCACTTTTCAGAACCAAAAGCAAAAGTTGCTCTCCTGTGGAAAACAAAGGGGTAGAACACCAGAAGGGGAGGATCTAGCCAAGAAGAGTTTGTCAGCTGCTTCCTGGCAAACCTCCCTTGCACCTTTGCTTTCAATGGCTGGCTTACCTTCCACAAGATGGGGATAATGAATTTCCAGCCTCAGCTGGAACAATTTGCAGAGAACTGCTAAAATGGCAGTGGGCAGACACTCTGAACAGTGCCCAGATGAGGCTAGAAATCCCTCCCTTCCTTTGCAAAATTTGAACTGGCAAGCAAAACCCATCAAAAGCAAGGGCTTGAAGAATCTTTTGCTGGGAAGTAGATATTTACACAAATAGCACTCATTTCTTGGCAAGATCTTGCCATCCTTGCTGGAAGCTCAAGCATAAACCACTGGAACCTCTGGTAAGGTTGTCCCCTCCTCCTTTCCAAGACACTGTACCACCTTTACAAGCAGCAAGGACAAGCAGAGTGCTGCCATCTTTGTTAAGTTAGCAATGTCTCCCTTGAAGCAGCCAGCAAGGATGTCCAGAAACAACTTTTCCCTTCTGCTCCACTACTTTGTGGGCTCAAAGCATGTCCAAACTGGCCCTCCCTTGAAATTAGCTGGCTAGTGGAGTGACGAAAGGGGCCAGCCTCTGCCAGCTGCTCCGAAGTGCAGAATGGGCACTTTAAGGGCAGATAGCAATGGAAGTCATTAAATAGCTGCTTGGCAAGAGCAGCAAGGGAATTTTGCCATTCTTGCCATGTGGTTCACTGTCTACAGGGTTCCACTCATGGTGGGATATGTTGTCTCTGTTCAGAAACACAAGCCATAACAGGTGACCACAACAGCCCATGGCTAATGCAGGGTGACTTTTCTGCAAAGGTAAGCTATCATGGGTGAAGTCAACCCTGTTCTCATGACACAACAATCCACCTATAATAACAAACAAGGATGGATTAGAAACATAGAAACAGAGCAGGTCAGAAGGGGCCTCCCGGGCCATCTAGTCTGACCTCCGGCACCAGCCGGCTCCACTCACGACATGCCCGCCATGTGCACGTCCAGCCTATCCTTGAACACCTGCACCAATGGGGCCTCAATGACCTCTCGTGGAAGCCCATTCCACACCCTTGGGGTCCTAACTGTCAGGAAGTGCTTCCTGGCATCCAAATGGAACCTTGGCTCCCTGAGCTTTGCTCCATTGGAGCGCATCCTGCCTTCCTCTGCAGGGGAGAACAGGTCTCTACCCATCTCCACGTGACATCCCCTCACATACCTGTATGTCACCAACATATCCCCTCTGAGTCTCCTCTTCTCCAGGCTGAAGAGACCCAGTTCCTTCAGTCTCGCCTCATACCCCATCCCCTGCAAACCAGATTGTCTACACCCAGTCAGAATGTTCTGCAAGTTGCAAGCCTCCAGTTTGGAGGGGGCACTTTGCTAAGCCAAAGGAAATCATAACTAAGAATGTACAAAATAGTATTACTTTGTGTTATAGTTAGCAAAGTGAAGTTTCTTTAAAACAAATACAGAGAAAAATGAATTACAATGGCAGTTTCAAACAGACCTCGTATAATTATGTATACAGAGAAAATCTATATGAGCCTAACATGTCATCTATAACTATTCACACATAGTAATTTACATAAGTTATTAAAGAAGCCACTTAATAACAGTCCAGACCATGAATACTCAGTAAGTTTCCCCAGACACTGTATATTTAAAACTCATACTAAATGCAAACACAGCATCACACTTACTGAGCAGATCTTATGTTCACCAACTCACTTAAAGAGTGGCCTGAGAAAAGCATAACAGTAACATTCAAATTAGATCTCACCATTTTTCCTTTTTTACCTTGTCAGATTACTTCTCCTCTCCTGGAATA